TTAGAAGCATTTGCAATGGCCCTTTATTTGGCCTTCTGCTCAGCTCTGGTGCATTAACTGCTTCCTACCTATTTTCAGCTGTACCTGAGGATTAGACCCTGTATTGTGTGGTGTCATCATTAGTAAAACCGAACTTCTCTCCTTTTCCCAGTATTTATGTAAAGCACTATTCTTTATGTGGATGGATAGTCTTCATCCATCTGGATGAAACACCAGCAGTGTGCAACTCAACATTTCCTGGAATTATGAAGATGTATTCTGAAGGATGTGTGCCTCTAAGCTGTGTATTTAGCTCTGTGTGTTTACAGCCTGTCTAGTTGCTTTGCCTGGTTTTGAAGCACACACATTTCTGACCATTGCTTTCTTGTAACAAGAGCCCTCACTGTGCCTCTGTAGTTGTTTAGTTCAGAAGGAAGATGCCCTTTATGTGGACAGTTTCATGTCTAAAGGGATAAGATGCACTCCGGCTTCTTCATGTATAAATTATCGATGGAAGGCTTCATTTACCATACAACCTTGGTTTCAGGTATTTATCAACATTTGTCTCCCTTTAGACAGCATAATACAAGTTCCTCAAAGGTGCAAATAACAGTTCTGGCATCTCAGAGAAATGTTCCGTCTCCACGTAGACGGGGACATGGCCTGGTTTGTGAGGGTGTTCTTGCAACAAGCTGTCCTGCCATTATTTTGTGGCTTGTAGGTAACATAATGCTAAACAGCGGTCAGAGACTTTCAAGCCTGATGATTGTCTTCACTTTATGTTCCTGGTAAGGGCCACGAAAGCATAGCTGGGACATCAGAGAACTCAAAATCTGTGAGGCAAAGATTCCTCAAAGAGAGTGGGTGGAGGAGGAGCAGAGAGCTTTCTGTTTTGAAAACATCTCAGAAAAATCTTGGAAGGAGATCATACATCCCATTTCTGTCTTCCTCTCCAAAGAGGAAGACTTTAATCTGCATAAATTAAAACATAAATTGGATAAATAGGCTCCTTATTTGTACTACTCCCTTTCCTGAATGTTCCTTATTTGCAGGCTTCATGATGCCCATTGAAAGACTGAGCAGATGGATATTCTTGTCTCAAGGCTTTGCTGAGGGTCATGGCAAGCAGGAATTAATCTTCCTCAATACCTAGCCAAGCTGCATGTCACTTGCCATTTAAGTTATTAAGTTGTGTGTTGTCCGCAGCTTGGTAAAGTTACAGGGGCAACTGAGGAGAAAGCTGAACCATTGCTTTTCACAACAAACAAGGTCTGGTGTTTCAAGAATGGGAGTAGGAATTGGATGTGAGTTCAGGGAGAATGTGACAGAAAAGAAACCAGAACAGTAAAATCCCTTACCCTTTCAGTGCCTTGTTTTTCTCGTGTGTATAGTGTATGTACCTGACTTTGAAAGTAACACCAAATCATCTATAGCTTAATTGTGCTATGGAGTTCTTATTTTCACTACATGGATGCAGCTTTTTCTCCTGTAGTTTCAGGCATAACTCAAGTTTCTTGGTGTACTATCAGCATAAAGGACATAGAGAATTGCCGTTGCATCACACTAAGGTAAAAGTGTATGTTGTCCAAGGGTTACTGCACAGAACTAAGACTCTCAGCTCCTGAACTTAATTTCCTGTTTTGAAATCAACTTTGGCATTTCACAGCTGGGGCCTGTTATTCTGAGAGCTGTTGAGCACTTGTGATTCCTGTTGAAGTCTAAGAGCTGCAGGTTATGGGCATTTCTGAAACTGCAAGCTCAGTTGTGCAAAGTTAGATTTTTCCACAACAGCCACTTCAAATGAATGGTCATTAAAAATTCAGCCTGAAGCTTCTCATGTTTCTTTCTCAGTCTCTTCAACATGTTCAGTGATTATTGTCTTCTCCACAGGCATAATCATCAGATACTATTGAACTTTGAGATTCTACACAAAACAAAGCAATTTCTTATGCATGGCAAATATCAAAACAATAGGAATTTGGACATTCTGATAAAGAAATATAAAACCAATTATGGAACTAAAAAGTGTCGTAGAAGGTGAAATCTAGATAAATATCAATCAAAGGCTTGCCAACAGCGAGGTACAGCCAGTGTTTAAAGTGTTAGCCTGAGATATAGGAGATTAGATTCAGTTCCCTCTGTAATGGACTTCTATGTGATCTTAAGCAAATAATGTGATTGTTCTTTTCCCATTTGTAAAATGCAGATAACACTCTTTCCTTGCAGGTGTGTTGTGAGCATACGTACAAGAAAGAATGCAAAGTTCCCAGAATGTGGGAGTATAAGGATACCCTTTAATCGAGACTGTTATACGTAGAGATTTGGCTATGTAGTAGCCCTCTGTCTGACACGGTCTTTTCTATTCAAACTACTTTTTACCTGGTTTTGAGAGCTCAGGCTTCACTACAGAGGGCTGGAATATACAAATCTGGGGGGGTTCTGTATATTGAAGCCCACTAAAAAAGAAGTTTCTGCAATAATATTGTCTCCTTTAATCTAGCAACATTATGCTAATTTTTATGCAATTATATCAGGGAAATAAGATTACAAAGCTTCTGTGAAGAGCTATTTATACTACTTGATATTATCTTTAATTACATTCTGATCTCATATCGTTTAGTGTTTCATGCTTGAACAACAAATTTTCAAATTAGACAAATTTCAAGTAGCATTTTCAGGAATGTCTAGGGCACTTTGGAGTCCAAGTTCACGGATATACTCTTCTTAGTAACTAGGATATTTTTAAAGATGTTTGACTTTGTGGATAGCCTGCTGTTCATCCCAGCCCTCAGCCCCTCAGTTCACAGAGCGATGGAAAACATAGTCAGAAGAGATCCGGAGTGCCTGTGGCTTGGTCTGGTGTCCGCTGCCGGTCCTGATCGATACTCAGCTGGGCTGTACGTTACCTGCTGACATACTTGCTGTTATTAAAAGGACTTGCTGACTTGTGGTGCTGGCACTGACAAGGTGACAGAAACAGTAGAGCCCTTGTTCAGCAGCAACCTCACACCAAAGGTGTGGTTGACAGGTCTGTACGAGATGGATTATAGGATGCACAAAGAGTGGTTTATCTGTGACACTTTGAGAAGAATATTTTATAGGGTATTAATACATTAGCAGACTTGATTAATCAATTCTCAGCCCTTATTTCTATATAATCATTCTTTGCGCTTCCTTGTGACCACCTGAAATACCTGTTACTTATTTGCATAAAGTATTTCTAGTCTATAATAATAATAATTGTGTACTACTACTAATTGTACACTAACCTGAATACACTGATACACTTCAACTTTAATAGAAAAAAGAAGCGATAGAACTTTCCTTTTTAAGCTCAGCATTTTAGCACAAATTTCTTCTGTTGTAAATTCTGGCAGAGCTATCATATAGTGCACAGATTTACAGTTCTAGAGCTGGAATTGCTGCTATAATGATCAGATGTCAGCACTGAATGTGGAAAGCCCATGAACTTAGCTGAGCTGCTTTGCAATATCATGATATAACATTGTTACTAATGCAAATTAATCCCTTGTTAGGATAACAGTAAAAAATAAATTAAATCAGAATAACTTTGTAAGTAACATGGCTTTACCTGGATAATTTTGCTAAAGGAAAGCTGCTCAGTTGCTGATGCCAGGTAGCAGCCGGAGCACATTGGAGATTTCTCCTTGTACGTGGGCATTTTTAATAAAACACAGGGTGACACAGAGGCGACCCACACTCAGCATTAGCAAACAAAAGCAGCCACTTCTGCATAGAAAAAAAAAAAATCCATGGTGCTGTTCATGTTGATACACTGATGTATTGCTCACCTAAACTGCTCCGCTGTTTAAAATCCCCATGTTCCCCACTGTATACTCTATTGTTTGTTCCAGCAGTGCCCTCTGCTGCCTGATAGCATTGAATGTATGTCCAAATAGCTTTTTTCCCCCAAGTCTCATGTATTTTAAATGTAGTTCTCAAAAATCATTTACCTTTAAAAAGACAGAGAAAGAAAAGATATAATGATATGTTGTTTTATTAGTGTACAAGTCACACAATAACTTTAAATAAGCAAACACAAAATATCCCGTAACAAAGGTATGAGTATAGATGTCCATCATTTTCTAGCTACATGCTCATCCAATAATTAAGGTTAAAAAAAAGGTATTTTCAGAACTGTGTAGGCATCTTAAGTCTCCAATACAATTAATCTACTAAAGGGTTAAGCCATTAGCCTGCATTTCCTTGTTTGAAAATTAAGTTAATTCAACAACTCATTAAATGCATCTGGTTTGTTTTTTGGTTTTTTGGGGTTTTTTTTAGTTTGTAAAGCATCAGTACCTCTGATTTACACAAGAGAAAGAAAGGCCGTACGATTTCAGGTGTATTCTGACAACTTCTGAGTACTCTAGAAGTACTCAATCTCAAGCACTTTAGAAGTTTTGTGATGTCACTAGAGCTGATCTGAAATTTGGACTTACACCCTCACTGAACTGGGGTCCGGGTTAGTGACACAAGATTGTTGCTCTTCTTTGTGTTCCATCAGTCACATACTCCCTCCTCCAAAACAAAAAAAATTACTGCTCTCCATTTTCTGACTCTCTAATCTTTATCCATCTAATTTATTTGTGAATTAAAGCTGAAGTCACATTCATTCCATTTTAGAATATCCTTAAAGATTTTTAAATGATGGATGTGATCATTAATCTTCACAATACCTGGCCAGATTTTGCTCTTGATAAAGGTGGCTTTAAGCAGATCATCTGTATAGTAGTAAATATGTTTTCCAGTTTTGGCTATCCTAGCAACTTAAAGGTAGTAGGCTATGCCCTGAGTTGGTAACCCAAATATTTAAAAACACGAGTGGTTAAAGTTTAATCCGCTGTCGTGGTGATGATGTGGCAATAGAAGCTGTGTGTCAGGATTCATTCTTCGCCTGGAGAATGAGGTGGCAGTAACACTCGTGTAGTACGGTCTCTTACGGAATATGGGATGAGTAAAGCAGACCTCGTTAATGGTTGAAAGTAGAGGTTTCCACCATGAATGGATACCCAAACTGCTCTGCTAACCACACTAAAATTTGGAGTCATTATTTAGTACTCGCACTGGGCATCCCTCAGCTGACCATTAACATAGCATCTGTGATCTTCAACTGCACAGTCATCTTCACCAGAATGGCCACAAAGGATCTGCACAAGCCTATCTCTATACTCTTCTGCAATTTGGCTTTTTCTGATCTCTTCACCAGCTTTTCTGGCTTTTGGATTTCAATGCTGTTCATCACCAATCCTGACATTACAATCTTTGGATCCAAGGATATGCTTGCACCTTATGCCTTATATACTATGTCTATTTTATCCACCATCTATAACTTGGTAAGCATTGGAATTGAACGCTATCTGGCTGTGGCTGAAAGCATGAGAACAAGATTCAGGGTTGCTAGAAATCATTCCATAGCTGCGGTTTTAATTAACTGGGTCCTTGCTCTCTTTTTGGGCTGCTTGCCATTGATGGGGTGGAACTGCTTGCGCACGGAAAAAAATCTCTCCATCCTCTACAGTCCGTTTTGCGTCGACTACCTCATCTTCATCGCCATTCCCAATGTTGTGGTGGCTTTTATTATACCTCTGTTCACTTACCTTAGAATCATTATCATCCTGAGGAAAAGAAAGCTGAGAATGAAAGCATGTGGACAAGCCACGGGCACCTACAAATCAGCCGAAATCCAGGTTGCCAGAACCAGTATTTTTATTTGGCTCCTGGCGCTGATCTCCTACGCTCCTTTTTTTGCAGGAGTCATATTCGATGCAACTAACCATCAGTGCCACGCTGATCTCTACCCAGGTGTCTACATTTTTCGAAACTGCACAGCTATGCTGATAACCATGAACTGCTTGGGAAACCCCATCATTTATACCCTGAAACCCAAAGCCCTGGGGGCTAAACTCAACCCTCTGAAATGCCTCTCCGCCAGCGTGTCCGAGCCCGCACCATTGAGAACATCCAGCCGGGGCTGCCTGTGGTCCAGGGCTGCTGATGGACCTGACCTAGTCAATGTAGTCAGGGGCAGAGCTGAAATTAACACCCCATTCCCGCCCGCTGCCGGCGAGGGGACAGCTCCGGGGTGTGGAAACCAACGCGGGGCATGGGAACCAGCACGGGGCAGGGGGGGGGTCCCAGGGCGGGCAGCCGCGGAAGGGGGGCTGGAGTTTTGTGGCTTCTCTCAGCAGCTTTCACACCCTTCGGTAGCGGGTGAAGCGGGTGCAGCGTTGGGGAGGTCTGCGGCTTTTCCTTCTTGAAGCGGGCTGGGGCGCGCGACCGCTTTGTCTGGGCTCTGAAGGGAAATGGGAGAGCTCTTTTGCTCAGAGATGAAAATAACTCCATTAGCCCTGTTTACTTTGCGTTTAGAAACGGGCTTCTGTTGTGCTCGCTTTGCTCCTTTTCGTGTTATCTGTGTGGTTTTGAAGACAGTGAAATGGCTAGAAAATTTTCAGTAGTCTGGGGGGAAAATGTAGTTTTGCTTTCTCATTGACAGTCAGTCAGTTTTATCTCTGAATAATCGGTGAATCTCTTTATTAATGGGGGCACTCAGCATGGTTTTACTGTTGTAATTTTAACTGCTGTACGCAGCTGGATTACATGTTTTTGTGAAGCATTTGCGACTACACTTTTCATATTTCTGCTTATAAATAGAGGCACACTTGAGTCCATGGTTTTTGAAATTTCCAATGTGCTAGGAGAAAACTCACTTGAATTCGTCAGTATCAGAATTGCAGTCAAGTCTCCTGTACAAAACAAAACAAAATAAAAATGTCAAGGCCAAGTATGTTGTAAAAGGAAAAGCTCTTACCTCCTGCTGCTCCAAAAAAGAAGTTGGCTACTGAATATGCCAGATCCTAGTAGAGATGAATGCTCATTCTCAGTTATACAGGGATATTGCCTAGAAGAATCTCAATGCTTAAATTTCTTACCTCTTGCACAGTTACCAGTCCAGAAGCCTTGATCAAAGAGATCCTGGTGACGTTAGCTCATCTTGCTGGTTTTAAAGTATGCTGAAATACTGCTCAATGGTATGACATCAGTGTGAGCATCCATACTGTGGTAATATTCTCCCATTCACAAAACACACACACAGAGTCCAACCAAAATCAGCCCTTCCAGTCCAGGTTGGAGTTTTCAAGGATTTACTTCCAGTTTGTTTGCTTTGTTGTCATCATCTCAGTGTTTCAAAAGGCTTGAGTGAACCTCAAAGAGCAAAGTCCCATTGATCTGTTCCTGAGCGGGTAAGAGAAAAGAGCATGTTTTGTGTGAGAAATGGGTTCACCCACTGGTGAAAGAAATGGGCAAGTGCCATTACGTTAACGACTCCAATACTCAGCGGTTTGCGTTTATTGCTGTAAAACCCCTCTTCTGTGCTACTTTGCATCGAAGAACTGTGGGAGAATTGTGTCAGTCTGAATTAACATTCAGACATTTAAGGAAATGGATGGCGCCAAACGAAACATAATTAAAATGAATTATTTAAACGCATAATGTAACTCGGGATAAATCCGGCTCCATTTTTTTCTGCTGAACACTACGGGTTTGCTGTGAGCTCGACCCCCGCCAGCCCCACGGAGCCTTTGGCTAAAAACCGAACGTCTTGTCTCCTACTGACCGTATTTCAACCTAAACTCGAGCTTCAGCCGAACCTCACCACGGGGCAGACGGTAAACATCAACCTGGGGCCGGTTTTATTACCTGCTTTTTATTTTACTGTACGATTTCTGTTTGTAGTGATGTTGGCAAGGGGGGGTGGGTAACCACCGGAATATTTAACGCATGTCGCAGCGATTGTCATTTCAAAAGCAAGCTGGCAGCTGGAATCCAGCCACAACCCCCTCAGGAGGAGATTTTTTATTTTTTTTTAATATGTGTCTATAAATAAAAAATAACGCTGGGGCGGGGCGGGTCGCGCTAGGCCCCTCCCGCCGCTCGGCAATGGACTAGCGAGCCTGGGTGGAGGCGCTCGGCGTTCCGCCGACCGGAAGCGGAGGGAGGGAGGAAGGAAGGAGCGCCATGAGGGCACCGCGGCCTTGCGGGGTCTGCGGGGCGGCCGGCGCCGCCAAGTACCGCTGTCCGCGCTGCGCCGCCGGCTAGTGAGCGACGGGACGGGACGGGGACCGGGGGGGGAGGCGGGGGGGGGACGGGGGAGGGCGGCCTCCGGGTGCGGGGCCGCCTCCCGCCCTTACCGTTGTCTCTCGTCCCGCAGCTGCTCCGTGCTCTGCTGCAGGACCCACAAGGGTGAGTGAGCGGCGGGACGGGGATGGAGGGCGGCCGGGCGGGCGGACCGCAGCGCTGCTCTAACCCCCGTCGCTCCCGCAGAACGCTGCCCGCCGGAGCCGAAGCGGGAGGAAGAACGGGAGCGGCCGGCGGCGGTCGGACAGCTCTTCCCCGGCGGAGCGCTGAACCGCGGAGGGCAGCAGGCAGGTGGGTGGGTGGGCTGTGGAGGGAGCCGGGGGGGTGTCCCCGTCGCCCCCTCCCCGGCAGCTCTGCTCTCCGCGCCCGCAGGCGGCCCCTGGTCGGTGGAGGACATCCTGACGGAAGATGACGAGCAGGACCGCGTCCCGCTGCAGAAACTCAAGCTTTTAGGTAATCTCGAGAAGTTAGAAGGCAGGGAGGGGGGGCCCTCAGCGGAGGCACTCGCAGCTCCCCTGAATTCTTCACGGCGACTTATCCCAGTCCTGTGCCTCCTTGCATGGCCTTAAGGGTTTAAATGTCAGACACCTGGCCTTTCGCCACATCTCTTTGAAAGTTTATTTACAAAATAAGGGTGGTCTCGACCGCATTTGGAAGAGGCGAGTACTGTTAATCTTTTTCTTCTTTTTTCTTTTTAAGGGGAATCGGAAGAACTGAGAGGCTTGCTTCTGAATCCGCATCTCCAGCAGCTACTGCTGACAGTCGATCAAGCAGAAGACAAAAGCTCCCTCATGAAGAAGTACATGCAGGAGCCGTTATTTGTTGAGTTTGCAGACTGCTGCTTGAGAATTGTTGAACCTCCAGAGAAGGAGAACATTCTTCCTGAGTGAGCTACGTGGAGAACGTTTTCCTTTCCTTGACATTTTTTCCCTCTGACAGAAGAGGTTTGACAGCACCCCGTGCTCCTGGGTGCACCATGCTGTGTGTTTCCTCCAGGCATGGTCACACCTCGCTCATGGACGTCAGTGCTCTAATTCTCAATTTTGAGTTGATAAACCGTGACATAGTGTAGGACAGATTTCTAGGTATTAGGAATTAAACTGGATGTTCTGTGGGCTATGCTTTCTGTTGATATGGAAATACTATCAACCATGGGAAACGTTGCTTCCCAATGACAATTAATATTAAATATATTTGCATTTATTTTAATCCCCAAACTGATCTGAAATGTTTTTGTTAACCTTGTTGCAGATTGTCAGACACCTTTACAAGGTAGTTAGCAGTTTATTTAAAAGTGGCATACACAGAAGAGCCAAACATTTTCAAGACGCATATGAGCAACAGAGACGGTGTAGAATGCCTCTGATGAGAACCTTGGCCCCTTGGCAGAGGTAACGCTATTGACTGGGGAGTGCTGGAAATGCATGGCCGTTGTGAGAGTACGTATGTTTTGGTCGTATAGATACAACGCAAGAGTCCAGTCTCGCTTTTCCCTGAGACATCTGCTGTTGGTGTTAGAGCTGACTGCTGTCACAGTCAGAAGTTGTGTTACATTACTGAACGCTCGCGGTCAATCCATGTAGTTGTAGTTGTACTTCCCAACAGAATCCAGCACGCATCAGAAGTGTTTGCCTTATTTGCTGTCTCATTACCAGCCTCTTGCTTCTCCCAGGTAGTGTTAGAAGTGTTCGCTTCAAGTATATATTGCTTAAAGCACTTGATCTATTTTAATTATGTTGAGTGTTCCCATAGTATGGATATTTCCTCTATTATGTGCGTGTGTGTGGGAGGAGGAATGTCCCCCCCACGCGTTCTAAATGTGAAGTACAGTATACGTACAATGCATTAATTATAGAAAGCTCTGAGGTAGCAGCAGATACGGACGTTGAATAATTTGAAAGCAGCAGCTTGCAGACAGTCCTTCCCTGAAGGAAAAAGTACAGTATATGCAGATGGCCAAAACCTATGTTGGAAGGAGTTTTTTTCTGTCCAATAAAATCTGGTTAAATCCAGTGATGGAATAGGCATCCGTATGGGGGCTGACGTTTGCGTAATGCAGGGGAGACTTCTTACAGTGAAACTTGATAGAGCCCTGCAAGAAGAAGAGGTGGAGAGGTCAGTTCATGTTTTTGCCAGATTTTGAGCTAATTTTGCTAGTCAAACTAAGTAGTGCTTTAGCATATAAGCAACTAGTGAATATGAATAAGGATAGGGGAAGACCTCCAAAGGAGTCCTAGTACAAATGGGTTTAAGAGAAATGATTACTACAAAGAGTACCAATACTGTAATTTGAACTGAAATTAGCTTAAACTCTGAAGACTTGAGTATTTAGTCAGTAGTGGACTTCGTACTGCTTCTTCCTGCTTGTAGTAACTGTGACCAGACAAAAGCTACATTCTTGCACACATAATTTTATGCAACCTTAAAAATTTATCAACAAAAACCTAAGCACGGGCACAAGGTGATTTGTAACCGGAGTGCAGTTTCTGAGAGAAGCCGGTGTGGGTTGCGGCTTGTTTGTAGTAAATGGTATCTATGACTATTCTGCATGTGTGCAGGAGATGAAGTACTTCAGGGATGCTCCCTGCTTTCTACCCTGAAAACCCTCTGTGTGAATTAGTCTGCGGTTGTCTGCACAGTGAAGTTAATACAGAATTACTGGGATAGTAATACCCCAGTGGGTGCTTTTTCATGTGTTCACCTGTTGTGCAACTTGAATCCCCTAAGCAGAAAAAATACGTAGTACATAATAGCAGAGCCCATGTTAGAATCCTCTGCTCTCCATTTCTGAAGCGGAGCTTTGATCGGTTTGTTCTTATGACAGAGATTAACAAGAGTTTTCATGCTTAGTTGAAAGTCTCAACTCAGCCCTGTGTCTAGCTTGACCTATTGATGTCAGAATCATCCTTGCGTATCTAAGCCAGCAGAAAAAGGAAGACTGTAGCCTGAAAGCAGACTTGACAGTTGCTCTGCTCGACAGCAGAGTTCAGGTTCCTGAACCCGCGGCAGCTTAGCTGTGCTGCTGACTCGAGTGCGTGAGGTTTGTTACCTGTGGGAGAGCTCTAATGGAAGTGATGCCAGAGCCAAAGAAACAGCTTTCCACCTTGTAGCAGTCGCTCTC